GTCTTGCCTTTTCCAGAATGTCATATAGTATTGTACAGTAGGTACAGTATGCAGACTTCTCAGACTGGCTTGTACAGTATTGTCAGTATGCAGACGTCTCAGACTGGCTTCTTTCACTTGGCAACGCAGTCATCTTTGAAGCTGAAAAAGAATTAATATGGTTTACAAACAAACCACAAAACTTTGGATGCTATGAAGATACCAAGCAACAGGAAGAATGGGCATCTTTAGTGCTACCCCTTCCCAAGTGTGTCTTTTCCCCTAAACGTCTTCCTGGGAGAGTGAAGTAGATCTAGGTCGAGACTGGAGCAAGGTCTGGAATGTCTGGAATATGCTTGTTTATTGTTTTGTTTCTGTGATATCTATATATATTTCTTTATATATATACTTTATATATATAATTTCTATATATAAATGATATATTTATGCCATTTGGAAGCTACCATTTGGAGCAAACAGCTTTGTCCCACCTGTTACATATCCTGTGAGAAGATGAGGCTGCAGAATCCATCTGCACCTGCCTCTAGGCCAGGGTAAGGGTCAGTGAGAGAGAAGGGGCTCTGCCCTGCTTCTCCAAAACCTCATTCCTTAATCTGGGAGCTGCACAGAACCGTACAGTTTGCACACCCACTTGGTGTCAAGTAAAAGGAAGATGAAGGAAATTGCTATGAAAATCCCAGATGGGATAACTTGTTCTTTGGCTACCACAAGACCTTTCCATCTATTTTAAAGTCTGCCTCAATTGAAACATCTGTGAAATGGGAAAAAAAGCACTTATCTCTCAGTTTTTGTGAGCATGAAGTGTGTGAATATACGCAAAGTGTGTAGAAGAGTGCTTGGTTTCTGCTTAGCTTATGTTAGTATTATTATTTCTTTAGATATTACTTTGTTAGTTATTATTTTCTTAAATAGCAGTTTTCTTTACCAGATGTAATAGGAGCTAGAATACAATCTACCGTCTGATAAGAGTAACAGAGTTACAGATTTGGAGAATATTTGTATTTCTAAAGACGATGTGGACTAGAGGTAGGGTTGACTTTCCGTTAAGGAAGCAATAAGCCTGGCCAGGGTCTTCTCCACAGTGAAAGCCACGCCTAGATAGCACTGAAGTCTGATTTTTTGGGATTCCTAAGACTCATGATTAAAGATGATTTGCATAGGAAAATTTGCAAAGTAATTACATTTCTAATATATTTTTAGTTAAGCTAGGTGTGTTAAAATATATATGTATTAATACACTTTTTATCCCTGAGGACACTTAGAAAATTAAAACAATCTTCTCCTGTAAGTACCATTTTAAAATAAAAAATTTCTATGACAGAAAAAACAGAATTTTTGTTAAGTCAGCATCACTTAGTAAATTTCTACTCATGTGCAGAATTTCTCCTGAACCACAGTGCATGGTGTATTTTCTGTTAGTTTATTTGAACAAGGATTGTTTTATTGTTATAAATATGTGACTTTCTTGACAAAACTGTTTCTCGTTTGTCTGAAATGAAAAAAATATTAAAACCTTTTTTTCCCCCTCTATAACAGGTAGGGTCAACAACAAGAGGTATTGTAAGGAATGGTTTTAACTATGAAATAAATTATAGTTACATACCAAGGCTGTTTGGATTTTTCTCTGATTAAGGAGCATAAAGCTAGTACTTCTGAGTAAAACATGCCATCAGACTACCAACATCTAGATTGTCATTTCCCAATTTCCCATAAATGATTGCTAAAAAAGGATACAGAAACACAAAAACAAGCACTGCTGCTAAAAACTAATGAAAAAGATTTTCATTATTTGAAGCTTTGGTAGGAAAAAATTAAGAAACACAAGCATGAAACACAGACACTTGGCCTTAAGAACTGAAACCAGCCTAACGGCCACCCAAATTACAGTGGAGAGTTGGGCTAGCCTGGCCCATCATTTGTCCTCAACGTTGGGTTCTAGGGACCACACAGCCAAGGAAACTAAGCATCTGCCACCCTTCTCAACAACAGCAGTCTTCTGAGCAAGGCAGAGTCATGCCTGCTCCTTCCACCTTGCCCCACCTGTGCCTCTCTCTCTCTAAATCCAAACAGAAAAAGAAATACCCAGGAAAAGGGCATGTCAATAATTGGTTGCATTTTGAATAGCAAAATTTAGATAAAAGGACTATTGCCTGGGAATAGATATTGACAGCACTTGAAATCCATGCACCCTCTAGGCTTTCATGCCACATAGTATGGCAAAACAAGTCCATTTTGGGGGGGGGGTTGTGCTTTTGTGTTTGTTTGTTTGTATTTGCAAAACAAGTCCATTTTTAAGCATAGACCAGGACTTAGTAATCAAGAAGATTCCATCTGTACAGAGCCATCTTCCATGAAATCTTAAAAGACACCAAAAATTGCATTAGATCCTGTACAAAACGGGCTCCATTCTAAGTAAAGATTGGCATACTGCTAAGGTTGAAAGCAAGTTTTTCCTGTGAATCAGCAATTTTTCTCCTAGGTACGTACTGTTAGAAATGTATGCACTTGTGTACTGCAAGATATACACATAAATGTTTTTTATAGCTTTATTTTTAATAGTCAAGACTGGAAACAGCCCAGATAACCATTGTTAGTAGAAAGCATAAATAAGTTTTGTTGTATTTATACAATAATATAACAGTGAAAAAAATTGAACTACAAATACCTGGAAATTAGGGTTGGATTTCACACCCATAATATAACAGGAAAGAAGCCAGACACAAAAGTTTATTCAGTATATATTGGCATTAACACAAAGTTTGAAAACAGAACTAAAATACAATGTTTAAGGATATGTCCCTTGGTAATAAAACAGGGTTAATCAATATCTTGGTTAATTGTTGCCATATATGTATTAAAATAAAATATAATACTCATAATCTTAAAATTATACAGAACCTATACAATTTTTTTTAAGATTTATTTATTTATTTATTTATTGGGGCGGGGAGACAAGGAGCCCAGGGGGCAGGGACAGAAGGAGAGGAAGAGAGAGAAAATCTCAAGCAAACGCCCTGCTGAGCGTGGAGCCCAATGCGGGGCTTGATCTCAAGACCCTGAGATCATGACCTGAGCTGAAATGAAGAGTCAGAGGCTTAACTGACTAAGCCACCCAGGCACCCCTGTACAACATATTTTAAACATAATTCAGAAGAGATTTCCAAATTTCTCCATGCTTCTCTATTACCATTTTGATAACTATTTTTCATTTTGCCTGGTAAAACTCATCATTAATAATTTAGAATTCATAGAATAATTAGATAATAAATTAGAATTCTAGTTAATATAGTTTGATTGTGAACACATTTACTCAGAAACAAAATCTGTGAATAATGCTCAAGGTTACTTATTGTAAGAACCAAAAAATGTTGATTTTATTTGATAGTAAGGCAGTTGTTTCTCTGGGAGAGTTGAACATTTGTTTTTGCTTAGACTTAGAACAATGGGTAACAGTAACTGACAGGGTTCCACTTTCAGTCCACTCTGCTTTTAAAATATGAAAAGCACATAAAATCAATTAAAAACTATCTTATTTTCTTATATTTTTCCTACCAACCAATCATTTACTTCTAGGTCTTCTCACTGAAGGACTTTTGCCTTCACCTGGGATTAAATATGTTATTAGGACCATAAGACTCAGATGACCCTTAATAATGGACTGGAGTGGGTGGTATACTTTAAGCAAAGGAAAACGCAGAAGAAAATTTGTATATGATTTTGTTTTAGCCCAATCCCTGTTTAAATTAGTATGGAGATGTCTGGAGGCCATGGGTCACAGGTATAAAACAAAGGGCACACCATGGCTATCGCAGTTCTGCTATAATTTTGTGATTATTTATCTTAACCTGTTATAATTTTATTTGTTTTAAATATTGGAGGGGAGAGGATGAGAAATGAAAACACAGTTTCTTCTTGGCCTTATATCCTTGAGGTCAGCCTTACCGAGATACACAGGATTATGGATATTGCATCCTTCCTTTCTTCCTCCCACAAATATTTATTGATGCCTACTATGTATCTGATTCTGGGTTAGATGTCTGGAATACTCAGAGACAAAACAATAAAAAACCCTTACCTTGGTACAGTTTTTGTTCTAGTAGGATAAGGCAGACAGTAAACAAAGGAATATTTTTTTTTAGTATTATATAACATGGTAGAAGTTAGTAAGTGCTAAGGAAAATAGACTGGAAAAGTGGGCTAGGAGTGGAGGGTCTCCAGGAGAGGAGTTACATGATGTCATTTATAATGTGGAGGATCACTCAGGTGTCTCAGCTGTCAGGCCAGGTAAGTCTTGCAAGGCAGGAATTTGGTGGAAAATTGGCCAGTCTATAAAAAAAATAGCTTGGATAGATGGTCACAGTAAGGTGAAGTGCCTTAAAGCAATCTTGATGAGCAATTGATTAGTCTTGGTAAGTAAGCTGTTTTAGTTGGCTCACAGTTTTATATCCTGTGGACAAGTATTTCTTGGAGCAAGCAGCTCAGGAATTATTGTTTGATTTAGAGTTGCTGAACATAGGTTTAGAAAATATTATCTATTCTGAGTATTATTTAATATTGGAAGCAATGTTGGCTTCAGTACTTATGTTAAGCCTTCGTGCCTTTATTTTTGAAATGGAAGTTGTAAGTATTAAATAAGATCAAACATGTAAGGCACTTATGTCTGAGCCTGATGCTGAATAAATACTAAACATATGCTAGCTGATATTATTTTTATAGGACCTTATTGAATAAAACATACACATTTTGATGCCAGCATCAGAGCACCAATTTCTGGTATCAGACTGCCTAATTTCAAATTCTGGAACATCACTTGCTAGCTTGTCTCCTATTATAGATCTCAAACTTTCTTTAATCATCTTTCCATATCTCATAACTGGAATGTAAAACAAAACAATATTTTTTTGCTATTGGATTGCCAGTATCCAAACCAAAGTGACTTGAAACCAAAATGTATGTGCTTGTCTAACCTACATTATTAACAATCATTGCTTTATTTGCAGAATGACATGAATTACATAGCATCCAGTGGACTTCTATTCAAAGATGGCAAAAAACGGATTGATTACATCCTGGTTTACAGGAAGTCAAATATACAATATGACAAAAGAAACACATTTGAAAAGAACCTCAGAGCAGAAGGCCTGATGTTGGAAAAGGAGGTAGGTGCTTTAATAACACTAGTTATGTGATGTAACGGGCTAGAAGGGATATAATCTCTTATGTTTTAGCATGGGAAGTGTATATAGCACACGTCTCTATAAAATGTATAGTTATTTTCTCCCAAATGTAAAAGAAATACGTACATACAGTCCCACTTAAATGTGTATTCCTTTTTTACTTATATATTTCCGTAAATTTAAATATTTTTCAAAGGGCATAACTATTTTTACAATTTCACAAATTGAAGAAGAAATGATTATACCTATATAAAGTATAAAACCTACAAAAAGAAAAATGCTGAAAGAAAAGAGTGCCAAGTCGTTAATGTCTGAATTTCAATATTGGAACTATAAATGAGTTCCTTCTCAATCTTTTTTTTTCCTAAAACTCTTATTTTTTTTTCAGACCTTATTTTTTTAGGGCCATTTTAGGATCACAGCAAAACTGAGAGGAAGGTACAGAGATTTCCCATATAGCTCCTTCCCCCAAATATTATCTCCCATTATCAATATCTCTGTACCAGAGTGGTACCTTTGTTACAAATGATGAACCTACACGGACTCATTATTATCATCCAGAGTCCAGTAGTGTTCACTCTTGACGTTGTACATGATATGGGTTTGGGCAAATGTACAATAAAACAAATAACATGTATCTACCCTATAGTATCATGCAAGTATTTTCACTGCCCTAAAAATCCTATGTGTTCTGCCTGTGCATCTCTCTGCCACCCTCAACTCCTGGCAACCACTGATCTTCTTACTGTCTCCATAGTTTTACCTTTTCCAGAATGTCGTATAGTGGAATCGTACAGTTTGTAGCCTTTTCAGGCTTGACATCTTTCACTGAGTCATATGCACTTAAGGTTGCTCCATGTCTTTTCATGGATTTATAGATAACTTCATTTTAGTGCTGAATACTATTTCATTATCTAGATGTACCACAGTTTGTTTATTCACTTACCTACTGAAGGACATCGTTGTGGCTTCCAGGTTTTGATAGTTATGAATAAAGCTGCTTTAAACGTCCTTGTGCAGGTTTTTGTGTGGACATAAGTTTTTGACTTCTTTGGGTAAATACCAAGGAGTAAATTGGTGGATCATGTGGTAAGAGTATGTTCATTTTTGTAAGAAACCTTCAAACTGTCTTCCCAAGTGGATATACCATTTTGAAATCCCACCAGCAATGAATGTGTTTCCGTTGCTCCAATTTCTCACCAGCACTTGCTGTTCCCAGTATTCTGGATATTGGCCATTCTAGTAGGTGGATAGAGGTAACTCATTTTTTAATTTGCATTTTCCTGACACATGATGTACAGCATCTTTTCATGTGCTTATTTGCCATCTATATATCTTGTTGGCGGGGTATCTGTTAAGGCACTTGAGTTGTTTGTTTTCTTATTGTTGAGTTTTAAGAATTCTTTATATATTTTGGAATAACAGTTCTTTATCAGATGTGTCTTTTGCAAATATTTCCTTTCAGTCTGTTGCTTGTTTTCTCATTTCTTTTGACACTGTCTCTTACAGATCAGAAGTTTTTAATTTTAAGCAAGTCCAGCTTATTAATTTTTTTTCATGGACTGTGCTCTTGGTGTTATATTTTTAAAAGCACCCTCAAGTCATATAAATTGTCTCTTATTTTGTCTTTTGAGAGTTGTATAGTGTTGTGTTTTACATTTAGGTCTTGATCTATTTTTAGCTAATTATCATGAAGGGTGTAAGGTCTGTGTCTAGCTTTATTTAGTTAATTAGTTTTTACATGTGGATGTCCAGTTGTTCCAGCATCATGTGTTTAAAAAACTGTTTTTGCTCCATTGTTTGACCTTTGATCCTTTGCAAAAGATCAGTTGACTTTCATAAGTCAAGTTGATATTTACGTGGGTCTATTTCTAGGCTCACTATTCTGTTCCATTTATCTACCTATGTATTCACTAACACCTCTACTACAGCTTTATAGTAAGTCTTGAAGTCGGGTAATGCCAATCCTCCAAATTTGTTCTTCTCCTTCAAAATTGTATTGGCTATTCTGTGTCTTTTTCTTATCCATAATCTTTGTCCAGTATCCACAAAATAACTTGTTGAAATTTTGATTGGCATTGCGCTAAATCTATAGATCAAGTTGAGAAGAACTGACATCTTGACAATATTGATTCTTCCTATCCATGAACATGAAATCTCTCTCCATTTATTTGGTTCTTCTTTGATCTCATTAAGTAGAATTTTGTAGTTGTCTTCATATAGAATAGATCTTGTACATGTTTTCTTAGACTTATACCTAAGTAATTAGATCTTTGTGGTGCTAATGTAAATTGTACTGTGTTCTTAATTTCAAATTCCACTGTTCATTGCTGAAAGAAAGCAATTAACTTTTGTATATTAATCTTTTATCTTAAAAAATCCTGTTGTAATTGTTTATTAGTTACAGGATTTGTTTTTGTTGTTATTGTAGATTTGTTTGAAATTTTTACATTCTATGTCATCTATGTCATCTGAGAACAAAAGAGTTTTCTTTATTTCTCCCCAATCTGTGTACCATTTTTGTTCTTTTTATACCACACTGTATTTGCCAGTGCTTCCAGTATAATGTTGAAAAGGAGAGGTTCCTGATCTTAGTAGCAAAGCTTCTAGTTTCTTACCATTAAGTATGTTAGCTGTAGGTGTTTTGTAACTATTCTGTATCAAGTTGAGGAAGTTCAACTCTATTGCTAGTTTACTTAGAGTTTTTAATCATGAATGGGTGTTGGATTTTGTCAAATGCTTTTTATGCATCTATTAATATGATCATATGATTTTTCCTTTTCAACCTGTTGATATGATGGATCACATCGGTTGATTTTCCCAAATGTTGAAACAGCCTTGCATACTTAACACAGATCCCAACTGGTTGTGGTATATAATTCTTTTTACACATTGTTAAATTCTATTTCCTAATATTTTATTAAAAATTTTTGCAGGTTTGTTCATGACAGATATTGGTCTGTAGTTGTTTTTTTTTTTTTTCTTGGAGTGCCTTTGTATGATTTTGGTAATACATAGTGCTGGCCTCATGGAAGAGTTAAGAAGTTTCCCCTCCACTTCTATACTCTGAAAGACGTTATAGAAAAGTGGCACAATTTCTTAAATGTTTGGTAGAAACCATCAGTGTACCTATCTGGGAGTGGTGCTTTTTTTTCAGAAAGTTATTAATTAATGATTAAGTTTCTTTAATAGATATAGACCTATTCAAATTGTGTACTTTTTGTATGTGAGTTTTGGCAGATTGTGTCTTTAAAGAAACTGGCCTATTTCATCTAAGTTATCATATGTTAGCTTAGAATTAACCATAGTATTTCTTTATTAACCTTTTAATTTCCATGGGATCTATAGGCAAGTCCCCTCTTTCATTTCTGATACTGGTAATTTGTGTCTTCTCTCTGTTTTTCTTAGTAGGCTGTCTAGAGGCTTATTGATTTATTGATCTATTCAGAGAACAAAAATTTTCATCAATTTTTCTGTTGTCTTTTTCTGTTTTCAGTTTTACTGGTTTATGCACTAAATCTTTTTTTATTCAAGTATTGTTGACATAATGTTATAGTATGTTCTAATTCTTGTTCTTCTACTTATTTTGAATTTAATTTGTTCTTTTTTTCTAGTTTCTTAAGGTAGAAACTGAGATTATTGACTTTAAATCTTTCTTCTTTTTTTAAAACATGCAGTCAATGCTATAAATTTACCCCTAAGCACAGCTTTCACTGTATTTAAAGTTTAAATAGTTTAAATTTTGATAAGTTGTGTCTTCATTTTCACATAGTACAAAAATATTTTTTTCTCTGGAGATTTCATCTTTGCCCTATGTGTCATTTGGAAGTGTGTTTTTAATCTACATATATTTTGAGATTTTCCAGTTATCTTTCTGTAATTGATTTCTAGTTTAACTGCACTGTGGTCTGAGAGCAGACATTGTAATATGATTTCTCTTCCTTTAAATTTGTTAAGATGTGTTTTATGGCCCAGAATATAATCTATCTTCTTGAATCGTCCATGTGAATTTTAGAAAAATGTGTATTCTGCTGTAAACGAAGTAATTTATAGATGTCAATTATATCTACTTGGTCAATGGTGTTGTTGAGTTCAACTATTTCCTTACCAGTTTTCTGCCTGTTGGGTCTATTTCTGATAGAGGAGTGTTGAAGTCTCCATCTGTGATAGTGGATTCATTTGTTTCTTCTTGCAGTTCTATCAGTTTTTGCCTCACACAGTTTGACATTCTTATTAGGTGCATACACATTAAAGATTATTATGCCTTCTTGGAGAATTGGCTCCTTTATCATTATGTGGTGCCCTTCTTTATCCCTGACAACTTTTTCCTTGAATGCTTTTTTAAAAGTGCTCTTTAAAGAATGTTATTTTTCCTAGTGAAACAATAAAACTATCAATGCTCATTAGAAAAATAGGGAGGAGATAAATAGAAAGGAGATAAAAGTATATCTTTCATACATCTTTTATCAAAACAAAAACAAAAACCTCTTGCTATTTTAGTTAAACCTCTAAGGTCTTAAAAAACACACATTAGGCCGCCAGCGTCGCCGCCATGGACCTAGACCTGTGAATATCTGTGAGGAAATGACTATTCTGCATGGGGGCTTTTTGCTCGCAGAACAGCTGTTCCACCCCAAAGCACTGACGGAATTGAAAAAGTCTGACTGGGAACGTGTTGGGCAGCCCATTGTGGAGGCCCTAAGGGAGATCTCCTCTGCCACAGCATGCTCCCAGCCCTTTGCCTGGAAGAAGAAAGCTCTGATCATCATCTGGGCCAAGGTTCTTCAGCCCTACCCCATCACCTCTTCAGACGCTGACACTTGGTGGCAGGAAGATGTGTTCTTCTCAGTAGGCAATATGATCCCTACCATCAATCACATGGTCTTTTTTGAGCTGCTGGAAGTTGCTGGAAGCTTCTGGACTCTTTATCCAGCTCCTGATGGCCCTGCCAACCACTATCTGCCATGCAGAACTAGAGAGCT